TAAAAACATTAGAGGGAAGATACTTGAATGTTGAACACTCCTATATAAATATATAGTGATTGTATATAGCAATCACTTTTATTACAATACATAAGCCACTGTGTTATTGATAATAACTGGTGGCGACCGACATATCTTCCATCATATATATGCGATATATATATAAAAAAATTTCACTATTTTTTGTATGTATGTGTGTGTGTGTCGGGAGTTATGTTGTGCTTACGATGCATGAAGTGATGGGTAGATTCATAGTAAATGCATAGAGAAGCTCATGGATGTGTGTGTGTGTGTGTGTGTGTGTGTGTGTGTAGTCGGCAAACGGCATATTTCAAGGAAATATATATTAAAATAAAAAAAGAGTTAAGGATTTTTATTTTGGATGGATTTACGGATACACATCCCTTACGCTTGTCATACTAACTGTCCACTCGGCGTAATAGTTAACCTTATTTTATATATATATGTTTGTTTATATGTCAATTGTATCAATTGAATTACACACATACATACACACACACACACACACACACACACACACACACATCCATAAGCTTATAATATATATAAATATGTAATGTTTGGACATACAGATACAGTATATAACAAATATAATTAAATAAAATTTTTAACAAACAAACAACAAAATAATATATAATAAAAAAAATTAAATTATATTTTTTAGTCATTTAACTGGAATTTATAATTAGACCTTAGATAAAATTGATTAGTCGATTAGTAATTTAAATTGTTTTTTATTGCAATTTAATTTAAATTTTACAACAACGAAAAATAAATAAAATAAATTACCCTATTAATAATATGTGTATGTGCAAACAATATTAAACTAGAATATTTATAAGAATCTAGGTTTATTTTTAAAAAAAAAATAATTTTGTAAAAATCAATCCAAAATTAATAAAAAAATTATATATCATTAAAGATTAAATTGTTAATTACTTTATTAATATTACAGATTATTTTTATAATAATTTTAATTATAATTAAAAATTATTATAAGTTATTTTACTACTAGCAGTCTTAACAAACTGTAAAATAATTTTTTAAAACAGTATTTAAATATAATTTTATAAGATTTTTTTTATAATATTTTAAAATATATCATATTTAGATTTATAGGTTTAATAAAATTTATTTATAGAAAATATTTTGTTTTTTTGAGAATTAAATAAGATATAAAAATAATACATTAAATTATATTCAATAAAAAATTATTTTATGAAAATATACAAATAAATTAAATATTATTGCCCAATAGCAATACTATTCAATAAAATTTTTTTTTAATGTTTTTATTTTGTTTTTAAATATACTATACTAACATTTAAATATCTATATACTATAAAAAAAATATTGATTAGACTGAGTTTACATAAAAAATAATAGTTTTTTTAAGAAAATTTATTATTTTTTTTGTGTACTATATTTAATAAAATTATTTAGCAATAAAGTTTGTTTGCATAATATGTTTGTTTTTTTTGAAAAAATTATACTTTTTTAATATAAAACATAAATAAGTTTTAAAAGTAAATAAACTGTTGATATTTATTATTAATATTTATGTATTATAAGTTATTATTATTATTAGTTATATTTATAACTAGTTATAGTTATAATTATTATTATAATTACAATATTATTAGTAAAAGTACTGATGAAAAGTTTTATATATATATATTGGTATTAAATTTTTAAAAATTATCACTTAATAAAACATTTTCAATTATGAAAAAATATTACAGTTTTTATTCAAAGTAAACAATTAATATATTAAATTTATAAAATTTATAAAATATGAATTATAAAAAAAATTCTTATTTAATATATTTATATAAATAAAATAGATTTAAAAAACAATTAATTAATTTTTGATATTTTAGTTATATAATAATTATTTGATTTAAAATTAAAATTTTAATATTTCATTTAAACTAGAATTTCTAAAAATTAAGAAATAATAAAAAACATTTATTGTGGATATATAACAAATATATTTATTTATATATAATAACAATCATTTTCACACAAATAAAACAAAACACTTTCAAATTATATCAATATTTTTTAAAAGACAATAATAATAATAATAATAATAAAATAACAAAATATATTGGAGTTCGGAAAATATGTATTAAAATGAAATTTTCAGAAAAAAATAAAACTATTATTTTTGTTTCTTTTTATATATATTTTTTAATATTAAAAAAAAACTCAAAAATTTTTAGCGTCTAAACACATACTATACATATATATACAGTATTATACTAAATATATGGGAAGACCTACGGGTGATGAAAGTATGAATAGGTATTACCGCACACTATATATACAGTATAACCCCTGCAAGCAATACAAGTGTAACAAATATATATATATATATAAGAGTGAAAGTCAAGTAAATTGAGTTCAAAAAATAATATTGAATATATAAAAAATAAACTATTAATATTTTAGCATTATATGAATAAATACATACATAATATACACCTGTGATGATCAATTTTGCTATCATGATAGATTTTTGAATTAAACTTTATTACGTATTTTATACTAATGTTAATAATATATTTTACTCATTTACAAATAAACTATTACAGTAATATCAAAATTATTTTTTGTCAAATTATATTTAAAACTATCTCAATATAAGCAAAACCAAAACAATAATTGCCGTCACACAATGATACCCTATAACACAGTAGTTTATGTATATTCGCGGAATATTATTAGGTATAATGCTTAGGGGCGGAGTTTATACAAAACATTATGTATTTTTGTATGTATATATTAAGTGTAATCTATGTGTTTGTGGTGCGTCTGCTATTGTTTTGGTTTTATTTGTACTGAGACATTTTTTTATTAATTAAAAATTTTCTACCCTAATAAATTTTGTTATGTTATATTTGTTTTATTTATTTATTTTTAATATTTTTTGTATAATTAACGTTGCAGGGACCAATTAATAATAAACCTTTGAGAGCATTAGAGATATACACTATTATATTGTTATATAAAATTTATTTTTTAAAAAAATTGTTTATTTTTATTTAAGTAAAATTTTTTGTTATTTTTAATACTTTTATTTTATTTTTTTGAGAAAAAATTAATAGGAATATTCATAGATATGATTAGTTGTATAAATCTATAATAATAAGATACATATAGTTTTTAGTGTCTCCAAAAAAAACAAGTAAATCAAATCAATATATATATATAAATAAATCTAAAATATATGTATAAAATCTTTATAAAATCTATTTGAAAAAATAGATTTTTTTTATATAAATCTCAAGTGTTTTATATATATATATACTGTGTTTAACTCAATAAAACTGATTGTAGTTATAGATTATTGGTTTTTTAAAATTTTATTTTAATATAAACTTAAAAATATTTTATTTAGATTATAATATTTTTTTTTGTAATTATTTTATATACTAATAATTTTGTTATATAAATATTATTTAATATAATTTATTTAAAAACAAATATTATTGTAATTACTGTTTTTAAAATACTGTAATTTTTTCAATTTTTAGTTAAGTATATTATTAATATTAAAATTTTGATATATTTTTATAATAAAGTAACTACTACATGAACATATTATTTCCAAATAAAATATAATTTAAAAAAAAAATTATTAAATGTTATATATATATATAAATAATAGATTTTTTTAAAAAATTGTAAATCCGTTTACTTATTACGAGTCAAAATTATAGGCAAATAAATAAAATCCGTTTATTCATTGATAACTTTGAAGAATTTTATGACAAACACTTGAATACAAACACTTGAAGCAACTGTACTGACTGTTACTATAGGCACTGTTAGGTGTTTGTCATACAATAAGTGTTTTGTAAGAGTGAGTGAGTGAGTGAGTGAGTGGTGAAAGAGAGAGAGAGAGAGAGAGAGAGAGAGAGAGAGAGAGAGAGAAATTGACAGAATATTCTGTAGATATCTATATATAAAGAGAGTCCTTATATAACTAATGGCTATCGAAATAAATAATTGGATTAAATTCTTAAATAAATCACAGAATCGGTGTCACAATTGAACATAAAATTGTGTTTCATTTATTTATTTTGTATTTTGTCTGTTTGTATGTTTGTTTGCCTGCTTTCCGCAATTCAATTGCAAATTAAGCGATAGATTTAAAAACAAATTCATTAAATTAATTATCGCAAACACATACACACACACAAACAATAACAAAACAACAACAATAGAAACCCGTATTGCAAATACTGTACACAAATTGGTATATAATTTATAAGCAAAATGGTTTGTCAATGAAAATTTGCATTATTTACTACTGGTATATATATTTTAATAGTTTATGCTTAACACACACACTCACCCACTCACTTGTATACATACATACAGTTTATATAATAAAATCGATATTTAATTACAGGGGTAATGAAATTTTCTCTAATCAATTAATGTGTCAATATTTATGTTAACGTATATATAATATATATATATATATATATATATATATATATATATATATATATATATATATATATATATATATAAGACAGCTTCTGGTATTATGCATACAGATATGCTCATATAAAGCCAATAAATATTTAACCATACATACACACACATACAAACACATACACACACATAAACACACATACACACACATAACCATACAGACACACATATACAGTACATACACACACACACATACAATAAAATTATAACACATATTATTATTATGTGTTTACATAAACTACAAGCTGGTCCGTACGGTATATATGACAGTCCGTCAATAATAATAACCAATAATAAGTTAACCTCTTTTTTAAATACACCCATATCTTTCTAAAAATATTTATACAGTATAAACATCATTATGTGTGTTATTAATATTATTTTAAGTCAAATTAAATAATTTTTTATTTTCATCAAAACTAATTTATTTATTTTATATATATTTTCTATCCATCTATCTATCTAATTAGGCAACTATGGCAGCTCATTGATGGACGTTTTCAAAGGTCTGGCCCAGGATGTAGGCATATGTATAGCCTATATAGAGTCGGCACCGAGCAGTGGTGAAGACGAACGTTTCGATGATATTATAATGAATTTGGCGCCCTATAGAAGCGCACGAGTAGTCGCATGTTTTTGCGAAGGTATGACCGTTAGGGCACTGTTTAGGGCAACCAAACGGCTGAGAATGACCCGAGAATTTCTATGGATCGGCAGGTATGACATCATATACAGTATATATATATATATATATATATACTCATAATTATCTATATATTATTAATACAATATAAAAATATTATGTCTAAATTTATTAGATTACAGTATATATTAATTAAATTTTTTTAATATTAATTAAATTTATCATAATAGTTGTAAATATATTTAATATATTATATTATATCAAATAATTTAGATATAATGATATTTAATTAGCATTTAATCGACTAAAAATTACAAAAACTTTTATTTAATATACATATTTGACCGGATATTTTATCTGTATTTTATTTAAGTCAAAATATTATACTTTTATTTAGCAGTTATATTCTTTTCATAATAATTTAAGTTACAGTTTATTAATGTTTAAATATTTTTATAAAGAAAAATTATATACAGTACTAATATATATTTTTTAGAAAACATTATAAATATTTCTATTTATAATTTTATTTAGCAATTAAATATATTGTATGTAAAAAATTACTAATACTAATCAAATAAGTCAGAAAGTATTTAAGTTTGTAATTTGTTCAAAAACGATATAGAGTTAATATATATACAGTTTATACTGTATGTAAAACATTTGACTACACAATTAATAGCTGAGGTTTTTTTTTGTTGTTGGATCGATAAAACAGTTAACCCAAATAAACAAACCATTTTTATATATACCAATATCACAGATAACATATCTATACATATAATCTTAAAAAAACACAATAACATTGCTGTCTACCAGTATTTATACATATACTGTATATTATATATATATATAATATATCCGATATATCTTTACTATATATCTTCAATAATGTATTTCTGATTTTTTTTGTTACTCTCTGATACATTGTGTGATACAATAAATTGATATTAGATTTGCAAACACATAACACAAACACACATACATTTACACACACACACACACAGTGAAAGTTATGAATATATTTGGCCAAAAATATTTATATTGATAAATCAATACCATGAATGGTGGTATGATATGATTTATATGATATATTATATACAATATATATCATATATTTATATATATATATAAGATATTTATATTAATAAGTGCATTGAACAGTGAAAAAAGTGAAATTTGTTTGGACATCAAATATTACTGTATATATATATATATTGAGATAAGCACTTACTTATTAGTCACCACTCTCTCTCTCTCTCTCTCTCTCTCTCTCTCTCTCTTATCAAACAAACAAATTATATGAAATATAAACACAGTGTTTGTTAAGTCATATATGCAATGTTTGTATACTTGAATGACTCCCAATTATCTAATACATATGGTATAGTATATACAGTATATCTAATATTAATATAATAACGATACAAATAATGCAAATATTGACATTAGATTTTTTTTAAATAATAAATAATATTAGATTAATGTATTTTAACTTTTATATATATACTTATTGATTTTATTTAGATATAATTATGAATAGTTAATGGTATTTATTTAATAATATTGTTATCTATTGTACAGTATATATATCTTAATTACAATTTTTTAACTATCTAATAAATATATAAATAAAAATATTAATAATAAGTTTAATTTTAATGTTAGGCAATTATATGTAATTAATTTATTATAAATATATTGACTAATTAATTTTAATTATTATAGATATATAAGATTAATATCCCTAAAACTATAAATGTTTAAATAATTTAAAAAGTATAAAAAATTAGATAAATAAATTAATAATTACATAACACAACAATAAATTAATTTAAAAAGTGGTATACTAGGTTATTTTTAAGAATATATAATTAATATATGATTGTGACTAATTAATTAATATAAAAATATATAATTTATATTTAATTTAGTTTAAAAAAATAACTAAATTATTTAACTTATATAATAGCTTAATAAAATAAATAAATTAAAACAAATATTAGTATTTATATATAAAATAATTAATTTTTTTCTATTTATAGTGACGGTTGGTCCGATCGGCCGGACGTTGTCGAGGGTCTGGAAGAGGAGGCAATGGGCGGCCTATCCGTACGCATCTATTCGACAAACATACCCGACTTTGATGACTATTATTTTGCATTGAATCCCGTCAACAATTCACGTAATCCCTGGTTTCGTGAGTTTTGGGAATCCCGGTTCAACTGTAGCCTACAAAATCTGACCGGTTCAAGTGTCAGTGCCATCAAACCGGGCAATGGTATCGTCTATAATAAACAGTGCACAGGTATGTGTCTATATATATATATATTTATTTATTAGCAATAAAAATAACTAACCATTTGTTTTATTTTACTAAATTTTATTTTATATATTTATTTTATCTATTTTGTTGCTATTGTATAAATACAGCAACAAATGTTTATAAACTTTTAATATTTTTTTCTAATTTCTATTTATTTTTTAAATGTAAAAATTTTATTTACTGTTTATTTATTTATAATAATAAATTAATATTTAAATTATTAAAAGTGTTTTGTTGTTGTTGTAAGTTTAATATGTCAAATATATACAATATAAATGTCAATATATATATATATCCTAGTATAATTTTAATAATTAACTATTTTTGCTTAAGTTTAATGAGTAAACATGTTAAATAGTTTATATATTATAATAAAATTTAGTTTATTTTTTGATTAGTTTTTTATATGTATATATATATATAATCAATTTTATTGTAATTTTACGTTGAATTAAATATACTGTATACATTATTATAATAAATTATTAGACAGTTTAGTTACATACTAAATTAATTGAATTTTGTTTATTGAATAATTTAAATGATTCAGGATAATTTTTTGTGCAAACATATACCGGGTCAATTATTTTTGTAGACTATAGTTAATTATTTACATTGTTTACGGATATATTCGTATAAATTATATTATATATAATAGAAATACTAAAATTTTGCAATATCAACAATGTTGTGATTTAATTTGATAAAGTGCTAAATAACTATAAATAAATAAAGGTAGCTATAAAACTATATATTATATATTGTATAGTATACAGTGTATTTGGTATATCAATATATTGTAAAAGTTTTATTTTAAAAAACATTTTCTCACGCAAATAGAGAAAACTTTTTTATTTATTTTTTTTGTTATATAGAAAGTGCTTTTAATTCAGTAATAACTGCTTCAATGTGTATATATGTGTGTGTATGTATGTGTGTATGTATGTGTGTATGTATGTGTGTATGTATGTGTGTATGTATGTGTGTATGTATGTGTGTATGTATGTGTGTATGTGTGTATGTATGTGTGTATGTATGTGTGTATGTATGTGTGTATGTATGTGTGTATGTATGTGTGTATGTATGTGTGTATGTATGTGTGTATGTATGTGTGTATGTATGTGTGTATGTATGTGTGTATGTATGTGTGTATTAATATAAAAATGATTTTTTTTGTTGATATTACTATTGCACAAAAATACCAATCCTTAACTACAATATGTAACTATACTAATAGAAAATAACTATTCAATTATTATATACAGTATATACAAACTATATTTTTGTATACAAATATATAGAATCTAGAATATATATATACTATGCAGTATATATTGCATGAAATAAAAATTGAAAAAAACATTTGTTAAAACACACGCTAATCGATTGCGAAACAGTGTTTTATAAATGGGTATCAAATTAAAAACAATAAATTTTAAGATATAAATTTTTGATATATATATATATAAATTTTATACATGTTATTTAATTTATTAAACATTAAAAATTATACTCTGTGATAAACTAATATTTATTATTAATAATAAATTTTTTTAGTCTATACATAAAAATCAATTGTTGACACATTTTTAAAAAAATCTGTACTTTAATGAATTGCACAATAAAATCAAATATATAACAGATATTTCTTGATTTTATTGTATTATTATTATTATTATTATAGAGGATTTATTTTGAAATAGAAAATATAGAGATTATATTAATACTATTATATAATGTTTTATATTAAATTCAGGACAGACTTTCATACATATATAATATATATATATATTGTTGAAAAGTTGACTGAAATATGAGTTTATTATATTTATCTAAGATATATAATATATTGCAATAACGAATAACAAAATACATTACAGAATATATGACTTATTTTTTTATAATATATATGTATATATTTTCATAAATATATATTATCTTTATAAGTACATTATATATATATATATATATATATATATATATATATATATATATAGAGAGAGAGAGAGAGAGAGAGAGAGAGTTAATAAATTTATAAATTGTATTTATATTTTCTATGTATATATTGTATCTATTTATTCAATGATGATACAAAATAAGATCTCTATTTATCAAAATATAACATTATATATACAGTAAATCCAAAATAGCTAATAATTTTATCAGATTTATCAATATATTAATATTTATACTGTAAATAAAAAATGTATATATTTTGTTTGGTAAATTTTAACATAAGTTAAATTGAATAAATAATTATTTTACATTTATTTGTTACAATAATATGATAAATATTTAAAAATAGAAAATCTTTTAAACATAAATATATTATTTTTATTTTGTATTTTTTATTTCAATAGAAAACTTAAATCAATGAAAATATATTATGTTATTCATAGAAATTTTTAAAATTTTTTTATTATAGACAAAAAAATAATATATATCAATTTTTTGTTTTTTTTTTGATAAACATATTGAATCTAAATAATACAGTACTATTCAATAAAATTTTAAATATCTAAAATACATTATTAGATAAATAAAACATTTTATTGATTAAGTTGGGTTAAAAAAATTATTACTTTATGTATAGAAAACTTACGGTTATTATTGTTGTTGAGTATATTATTGGATATTTTGTATTTGTTACTATAAATCCCAATATTAAAAATATATTATAATAAAAATTTATTATTATTAGTTATTTTATGTGTTTTTGTTTTTGTTTCAATAAAAATCATAAAAATAAGTTTTTCTACTAAAAATATAAATGTCTTTATAGTATAGAAATTCCATCTTATTTTTTAATAAATATATATATATATTATTACTAGTTTTATATATCAATTTATATATATATATATATAATTACTGAAAATTAAAATATATATATATTATGATATTTTATTTGAAAATTAAATAATTTTTAGCTTAAATTAATTTATTTATATTAATATAATAATACTTTATTATATTAACTAATATTTAACTAAAAAATTGTTTACTTAGTTGGCAATCCTAGCCCTAAAATATTATATATATAGGCAACAATTTTTATGTATTATTTTTTTACATATATATATATATATATATATAAAATAAAAACTTAAAACACTTATTAAATCACTGATATTAACCTTAACATCCTCTCTCAATCACTCACTAAACTCACTCAATATTTAATATATCTTAAGGTTTAATATATTATATAGTTTAAAAAAAAATAAATTGTAGTTCAATTGATTTTTTTTTCTCAAAAACATTATTATTTTTATTTTGAAATAATAAATATTAAAAAACTTTTAAAATGATTTTTTTTGTTGGTTATAATATTTATAAACTAATATATTGTTTATAAATTCTACATTAAGTTTTATTTTTTCAAAAAAAAAATTAGAAACCTTATATTAAATAGATTATTATATAATAGAAAATTTCTATGAAAATTAAAAAAATTATTAACAATTTATAGGATATTTACTAAAGTATTTAAAAAAATAAAGTTTATTTAATAAAAATTATGTTTACCATTTATTTTTTGCAATAACTTATTTTTATTTACTATTTAATTTTTAACTATACTTTTATATTGATATATAGTTTTTTATAAAGTACTGTTAGATATTGAAACTAACTGACCATTTTGTATAGTAAAACGTGTATAATATAACTAACTATTTATTACAAAGTAATAGCTAATATTTATTGAACTATTGAACCAATGATCAAATACTGTACCTATTTTAACAAACTTTTTTTACTGCGAAAAAAACTAATTTTTCAATATATATGAGTTTTAGTTTTATTTTTAAATGATATAAAGTTTTTTATTTGGTTTGTTTTTAATTTTTTCCAATTTTGCTTAAAATAAATGATGTTTTTTAAAGGTGAGTGCGAGTAAGTGATTGAGTGATTGAGAGCACAGTTAGTTCAATCAATTGGAAGGATTTGTTTTTTACTTTAAACTAATAGTAGTAGTAGTAGTAGTAGTTGTAGTACTCCCTGTCCTCACGTTTTTTACGGTTCGCTTACAATTATACTGTAGTTTAAAACTACTTGTGTTTTGAGACATCAATTTTGTTTTATCAGACTTTAAGTAAAGAAATTATTTTATTATAAATTGATTTTCTATATACAGTAGAAAAAACATTATATATATATATAATATATATGTAATTTTAAGTAGAAAAACTATTTGTTATACTTTAAGTGATTTTATATCATATATTATTTTATTTGATAGATTAAATATTTTTGTTAGTTTTTGGTTATAAGTTTAAATGCATTTTATTATGTAATAGTAGTAGTAGTAGTAGTAATGGTAAAAATAAATAATATGTTAAGATTATAATATAACTATATATATATAGTTTAATTGATAGCAACAAAAATTTATTTGATTTATGCATTTTAAATTGATTATATAGTAGTAAACTGTGATTTTTTTTTCAACAAAAAAAACTATTGATTGATATAATTTTAACAATTTTTGTTTTGCTGTACAAAACAATGTCACGTAAATAACATTTTGAACAAAAAAAATACTACTAATATTATTAATGTTTCAATGTTAGTAAAGATCTTTATTTTTGTTTATAGACTACACATAACTTACATATGTTGTCCATAACTGTCATACATATATCAATATATCATATTAATGTCTATAAACATACAATGAGAGAGAGAGAGAGAGAGAGAGAGAGAGAGAGAGAGAGAGAGAGAGAGAGAGAGAGAGAGAGAAATCAAACAATACGATATATTAAACTATTGTATATTTGGGTTAATAATGTCAAATAGTAATAGATAACTATAAGTTTATAGATTATAATTACAAATTTTTATATACAATATATAAAAATAATATAGTATTTAATATAATATAAGTAAAGTTTAATAATAATTGTAATAATAATTTTATTAATTATATTTTTTAATCTATTGTTAAAACTATTGCTAATTATTTTGGTGTTATTAACCGTAAAATGAAAACTATTATTAGAATATATAATGATTTACTAATTAATTGTTTATATATATATATATGAAATTATTAGTATAAGTAAATATTTTTTAGTAATTAAAATGATTTTATTATTTTTCACAATAAAATAAATAGTAATAAACAAATCTATTTAAATTGAAAGATATTTACAATTAAACATAAATCTTAATAATATATTTTATAATGTATGCTAATGTTATTAAATTAAATTTGATATTATTATTCAAATGTAACAATATAATTTAAAAACTAATTTAATAATATATAAATAAGAAAATAAGAAAATATAATAAATATATATATATTTAGTGCACATAAATTTTATCTAAAAATCTAACTCAATATTGCATTTAAATTATAGGACCTATTGTATTGTAATTGTTTAGATAAAGCATTAGATAAATTAAATTAAAGTTTTTTTTATTATATTGTATGTCATTCAAATATGACATTAATATATAAAAATAAATTATAATATACAGTACTTTTATTTTTTTTATAGTTATAAAAACTAAATCAACAACAACAACAAAATTATATGAATATATAGTTTATATTATATCTAATATTTAGAGTGAATGATATCACATATTTAACATATGATTGATTAGATTACATGTAATATTCATAACTATTTTTTGTTTTTTTGCTTCTATATAAAATTACTTTATTATTATTATTATTATTATTATTATTAAATTTAACATAAATATATGTTTTTACTTATTAGCTATTATAGTGTAATAATATTTAATAGACAATGTTTTCAATAAACATTAAATTTTAATTAAAATAGAAAACATGAAAATATTTATAGTATAGTATTATAATACATTAATATATAGTTTAATAATATTTAATAATGCCAATTATATCCATATTGATAGTTATTAAAAAAATATATAATAATACAGTATATATATTAAATAGACAAATTAGTTTATCATTATAAAATAATTATATGACTAATTATTTTTGAAATTTTTAATTATATAATTGTTTTTATTTTTATTTTATTTTTTGGTCAGAATATCATGCCATACACAGAATATTCTGTAATTTTTATTTTTCGGCTAAATTTTTTTATTAATATTTTTGTTGTTATTGTTATTGTCTGTTATCAATAGGAACCGAGACATTGGATGACAATAAGCACCGGCAGGACACGAAAATGGGTTTCGTCAAGAAAGCCATTTGGACGATGGCCTACGGTCTGCATATTATGCAGAAAAGCCAGTGTCCCAATACGACTGGCCTCTGTCCGAATATGTTACCAGTAAATGGATCGGTATTTCTACAACATTTGATGAACGTTAGTTTTCAATGGGGTAACGAAACGGTTATGTTTGACGCAAACGGCGATCCACCCGGAAGGTAATCATTGTCTGTCTGTATGTCTGTCCTCCCGTCCCTCCATTTCCCCCCTCCCATACCCTATATACTTTCTGTATATTATACACATACCGGTGCGCTTGATATAGCATTAGTTAATTTTGTTGTTGTTGTTGTTGTTGTTGTTGTTGTGACTGTCTGTTAGATATGTTTTATATATTTAAATTGCTCTATTGATTGCATACACACACATATAATACATAAAAACATTTGGTTTTATTGCTATATTTTTTTGGTAGTGTTTTTATTTGTTGTTTTATATTGTTGTTGTTGTCTTTTTAATGTCAACGATATCAAGCATAACCATTATTATTATTATGACTTCCCTTTTATTATATGACAAACTTTTTCTATTGGATTTGTTAAAATATATATATATATATATGATTTTATACATATATATGCATATAAATAAAGAAATATATATTATATATATATAGTGATATATTTATGATAATTATGCATATATTTAAATATACCGGTATTATAAATTAAATACCGGCACTAGTTATTTAATATCAATTATGCATATTATCAATTATTTATTAAATTCATAATTAAATTACAATAATATATATATTATAGTTAAAAAAAATATAACGCAATTATTCTAAATCATAAAGTCTTATGTATAATTTAAAATGATAATTCAAATATTTTAATTTTTTCAAATTTACAGTTTTTTTTGAAATATTAATAATTTATAATGTATTATGTTATTTTCATATTATTAAATTATTTTATTTAAACACAACAAAAAAATATAATAATAAAATTACTAGAAAAAAATATTTATATAGAATTTTTTTAATCCAACTTTTTATTTAATATTTTAATATTAAATTTAAATAAAAAAATATATAATTGCTAATTAAATTCAGATTTAAATACTCGATAGTATAAAATTTTTGATAAAGTACTTTATAATCCAAAAATTACTATTAATAATAATATGTATGTGTTTTACTGTATATATATATATATATTTATAATATAATATAATGTTTATGTGTATGTGTAATATCGGCACAGGTACGACATAATGAACTACCAGCGCAAAGGTAAACACGAGTACGACTACGTGCACGTGGGCTCATGGAATAGTGGGGGTGACTTCAAACTATTTAAGCCATTTCAGTGGCCATTTCATCACAACATGACTGACCCACCGGAGTCCGTGTGCTCGAAGCCATGTCCTAAAGGACAGGCAAAGGTCAGTACATATCTATTTATATATATATTTAATATTTTTTAAAAAATTATATAATATATTTGTATAAATATAAATAGTTATAAATAATACCATTATATTATAGTTTTATTATTCAATCTAATTATAAATAACTGAAAAATACTAATAAGTTTTTTTTGAAATATACAATTATAATATGTTTGATGATTATTATTATTAAGTAAAAACTGTAAAAAAAATTATTACTATTTTTTCAAGTTTAACAAAATATTATTTTTAAATAATATGATTTTTATTATATTTATTATCTATATTAGAAAATTTTAAAACTGTAAATTAATTTTTTAATCAAATTTTTTTTTAATAATGTAAATCAATGTTTAAAAAAATGAGTTAAAAATTATTAAACTATTTATATATAAATTAGAGATAAATTAATTTATATTTCAATTGTATTTTAAATATTTATATATTAATTAGTGTAATAAAGATATTTAGTTATTTTATGTGTTATAAAAAATGATAATATTATTGTGATCAATGTTAGATCAATATGTGACAACAACAATAACAACAACACAATCAAATCAATGAAAACTATTTATTATTATTATTATCAAAAATTACAATTTAATTAAAAAATTAAATTATGATAAGACTGTGTGTGTGTGTATGTGTGTGTGTGTATGTGTGTGTGTGTCTCCATAAGTACTAAAGGATAAGGAAACAGGTAGTGATAATTATAGGTTATGTCTGTGTCTGTATGTATTTGAGTGACGTCTATCGTCACATTCCCTTCCCGCTAGACTGGCCGTCGGTACCAAATTATGACATCTCTGCGAAAATGTATTAAACTTGACGGGCAATCCATCCAAAGGGGTTTTCATTTTTGTTGTCGGTCGACTCAATACATTATTAGCACCAATTGTCAGACCATCCATTGATATAGATCTCGTCGCTATAGACCATCGATGACTACTTGATGACGTAATGTTGTCAACACTGTTATTATTATTTACAGTACTGCATATACTGTAACGATTCGGTAATGAGTAACGTCGCGCGTGATTTGTTACATTCGCTGAATAACAACAGTTATTATTATTACAGTACGAGTTCACGGCGCGTGCATCATTATCGATCGATTTGACACCAGGTGTCATCATATTCTTGACTTTTGCGTTAATATTTTTGTTTTTAATAGATTTTTTGCTAGTTTTCGTATAGTTATCGATTTTGTTGACATTTTTGACAATATTTGTACTACTGCTGTCTACCGTACGACAATAGTATGGCATTAGTGATGCACTGTTAGAAACAAATGTTTTTATTTTATTGTTTGTCTTGACATCGACCTGATCGACATTTTCAAATATTTCACAGACATTGCATGGTTTTATGAATGTCGGTAACCACTTGTTTTTTGACCGGTGAGTATCAAGTAATCGCTTAGTTGGCTGACAGGTATAACAGCTTTTGACGTAATCGCTAATTGTTTTATCTTTGTTTGGCCACCAAAACTGTCCACTTATTAATCGTTTTGTTTTGTCAACACCGATATGATTCATATTGTCGTGAAACTGTTTCAGTACTTCGATAGTGAGTGACTTCGGTACGATGAAGTGATCAACACCTTTGTATCTAACCATAGCCACCCCATTTTTATACATAAGTTTACGGACATTGTAATCATTGATTTCGTGTTGACGAGAAGCTATTTCATTAATTATCGGTTCATTTGATATCAATTTGAGGTCTTGTTTGTGACCGACATATTTGCCGTCTTTGCATACAACGTTAAAAATATTTAATATTTTGTCAATTGTTTTACTAATAGTTTCGTCGTCCTGTTTATCTGTTTGTTTAACCAAATGACAGAAATGATTGCGGGGAATGAAATCGTCGGTAATCGTAGCGTTGACTTCATTTATATGCGTTTCATTATCGATAGCCAACTCATTGTTATCATTGAATTCATCATTGTTTTGAAATCGTGGACTAGTCCTGTGCTGAGTCCTTGAGTGACACTCATCGTCCCAATGATACTCAATTCTGTGGTCTTTAGCGCAATAACGACAGGGATATTTCGGAATATCTGGCCTTTTGTTTTGCCAATTGTTATCATTGTCCTGTCGTGTAATTGCAATACCAGCTAGAGTTTCATAATTGTTTTGTGGATGGCCGTAACTCTTGTCTTTTGCGCCTTCAATACTCGATGCGATGGCACGCCATTGTTCCGTATTTCCAGGCATGAAGCCAGCGATCTGTACACGCATGTTATACGGTATACCGTCGTTCAACATCGAGATCTGGACGTGTTCGGGAATTGCGGCCAATTCCATTAATCGTTTCTTTTCTAAGTAATATGACTGTATGTCTTCTTTGGATGACAGTCTTCGCTCATTAGCTTCTTTGTAAGGATCTGTGATGTGACGTCCGAATCGTCTGGTCATTCGGAGTCGACACTCACTCCAAGTCATTGTTAATCGTAATGGGAATACTTCCCTATATAACCAGTTGGTTACCTGACCAGTACAGTGTCTGCCGAGCGCTATTATGCGTTCGCTGTCTGAATAGCCTTCGGTAACCATTTCAAAATATTCGAGCCATGCGTTGACTTCTGTTTTTGAGTCAGTGCCGTTGTATATCTCGCAAAGTAATGGATTTGCTCGACGGACTTCAGTATGCGCCGGCAAAGCGTATGCGGGCATCTGAAAGTCTGGAGTATAGACATACCGTTGTGTAGACATTTGCTGCTGAACAGGTATCGGTTGCATAACCGGTACGTTCATTACAGGCAACTGCTGTTGCGCCGCCGATGTAGACATTGTCGTTGCTGTCGTAGTAGTAGTGGTTGTGATGTGTGGCACCGTTGTGCTCAATCTTAGTAGACTTTCGGCTATCTCCCGTATGTCCTGATTTGCTATTTGGTCAACACGATCCGCACTTTGACTACGCGATGAACGCATTGCTAATGGCTGTGACGACTGTACACGTGGCAGTTGAGCATTACTTTGTGAGTTAATAGACATTTTATTAATTATTAATCCGTTTCGACTGCGCCAATTGTGATCAATGTTAGATCAATATGTGACAACAACAATAACAACAACACAATCAAATCAATGAAAACTATTTATTATTATTATTATCAAAAATTACAATTTAATTAAAAAATTAAATTATGATAAGACTGTGTGTGTGTGTATGTGTGTGTGTGTATGTGTGTGTGTGTCTCCATAAGTACTAAAGGATAAGGAAACAGGTAGTGATAATTATAGGTTATGTTTGTGTCTGTATGTATTTGAGTGACGTCTATCGTCACATTATACAATATTTTTTAAGTTTCGTTATTTTTTTTATTTTATAAAAATCGCATTTTTTATATTTATTTTGTGCAATAAATTTATTATAAATATAGTATGTATATAACATTTATAGATAAAGTGTCAATATTTTTATTGAATTTTTTTTCAAACAATAACAAATAAAAGTAATATAAGTTTCAGAAAACAAAATATTATTGATATTTTTTGTTGTTGCTATTATTAAGACAAATATAATAAAATTTTCATAAATTTTGTTTTTTATGCATTTTTCAATGCAAATCTGCACACATTTAGTGACATATTGTACTCATAACAAAAATATATAATTTATTTGTTTGTTTGTTATTATATTATTTTTTATTGTTTTTCGTGTCATTCAAAAAAAAAAAGTTTGAAAATATCAATTTATATACAATTGTAAAAATAGTAATTTATAAATTTATATTATCAATATTAAACTATTATGATTGATTTGATTTATTTATATTGAATTTTTTTTAGCTAAGCAATTAAATTAATTTTAATTAATATGATAATGTGTTTATTGATTAATTTATAGAAAATATCTATATATAATTTTATTAAAAATTAAATAGCATTTTATTTTAGACATAAATATTTCATATACTGTATACTTTTAGTTTAAATATAATTTTTTAAAATCCAATCAGTAATTAAATATTCAAAAATATACTTTAAATCAAGTTATACGAGCTAGGTCATCATTTTTACATTAATATTAAAAAAATAAAACATATTATTATATTTAGTTAAATATTTCATTTAGATGTATTCATATAATAGTAACATATTTATACATTTTTTATCTGACAAAGTTTATATTATACATAATATTATGCAACAATATATATATATACTGATATATACTGTATAAACCAGTATATTATCCAAAAAAATTGTTTTACAAAATTCACCGACACAACAACACAACACAAAATAAAAATGATAATTTTGATTTAAATATTTAAAAGTGAATTACAGCCATATAGCCAACAACAACAAAAAAAATACTAAAATAAAATATTAATAATTTGCATAATATTATTCATAGAAAGTAGAGTAAAAGAAAAATGCTATGCATTTAATTTTATTTTATTTTTTGACGTTAATATTTTATATATTATACTGAGTTAGTAGAGAGAGAGAGAGAGAGAGAGAGAGAGAGAGAGAGAGAGAGAGAGAGAGTTTTAAAGAAAAAATTATTCCAAAAGATTTATTTTATTAAAAATATTTTATATTTTTTTCTATGACTTCTATTTGAAGTCAAAAAAAATAATAATAATCTTATTCAAAAAATGAACAATTTTTTTAATATATACATTATATATATATATATATTATGACTTTAAGCGTTATAACTTTTTTTTGTGTGTATGTATATTATATATATTTATATTAGTAGAAAATGTTTATATTTTTTTGAATGCCAATGTGTGTGTGTGTGTGTGTGTGTGTGTGTGTGTGTGTGTGTGTGTGTGTGTGTGTGTGTGTGTCTGTATTTATGTATGTAATAACTAATATAATAGATAAATTTAACAATGCATAAAATTTTTTTTATAATTTAACTTTACAATAGTTAAATATTTTAAATACATATAACTTTTAAAAATCTTTATAAATATAATTTACTTAAAAGAATTTAAGCAAAACAAAAAAATATTGAATAATTTATTATATTTTTTAGTTTTGTTTGTATTATTACAATAAAAAAATGGATAATTATTCATAATTTTTTTTTAAATTTTATTATAATATAAATAGATAATAATGTATTACTATTATTATTACTATTATTGTTACTATTATTATTATTATTATTATTATTATTATTACAACTATTATAATTGTAATTATAATTATTATTTAATTATTTTTTTCCCAGAATATTCAAAGTGATTCAGTAAAGTGTTGTTGGATTTGTGTGCCGTGTCGTGAAAATCAATACCTAATGGACGAGTATATATGTCAGGCCTGTCCACTCGGGTGGTGGCCTAATGATAATCTTACAGGTAATATACATATATATATATATATATATATAATACATGTATATACAGTATTTACTAATAATAAAAATATTTATGTGAATATACTGTATATGAATTTTATAAGACACTAATAAATTTATAGCTTAATCTATATAAGTTTTTTTCGACAAACAATATTTGTTAAAAAACAAAATATAATAATAATAATAATAGTCAACATATCTAACAAATAGTTAGAAAACTATTTTCATGTAATATATTATTTTTTGTTTTGTTTTTGTTTTATTATCTCATACTTATAATTATCAATACTGTTAGACAAAGAAAGTGAGAGAGAGAAAGAGAGAGAGAGAGAGAGAAAGAGAGAGAGAGAGAGAGAGAGAGAGAGAGAGAGAGAGAGAGAGAGAGAGAGAGATTGTTATAAAAAAAAGTTAGAAACAAAAAAATGCATTGATTTCTACCTAAACAACAAATTGTTGGCATTTTATTGTGTTGTCAATAATAAACATAATAATAAAAAACTGTTAGACATTTAGATTTCGTGTTTTTATTATTTTCGGGTTTTATTTTGTTTTTCTCCTATTTTAAGCACAAATAGCATTTATCCTACCAGTCCTACCATTATTTTTTTTGGTTGTCTTTTCTGACTACTGTTCCCATATTGGTTGTAAAAACAATTAACAATAGTTATAGTGTGTGTGTGTGTGTGTGTGTGTGTGTGTGTGTATGTGTGTGTGTGTGTGTGGGTCGTTGTCTTATTTCAGGTCATCCTCTCTCTCTCTCTTATAATATTTACATCCCAATCATATTATATACAATCAGTTAATTACATCAATAAATTTTTGTTTGTTAGTACACACACACACACACACAAACAAACATATAGACAATAATAATAAACTAATAAAAAAAAATGTATAGATTTGAACATAAATCCAACATATATTTTGTTTTTTAATTCATTGGTTAGTTAGTTTGTTTAAATGGTTGTACACCCGATTACCCTTATATATGACTGTGCAAATTTTATACCACTTTATTTTATATTTAATAAATAGGCTGTTTTCAAATACCTATTGACTATTTACAATGGGATACTAAGCCATCGTTGGTAGCAATGGCCATATCATGTCTGGGTTTTATAATGACATCGTTCGCAATGATTGTATTCATCCGACACAACGACACACCGATAGTAAAGGCATCGACACGTGAGCTGTCGTATATGATTTTGATGGGTATGTTTCTGTGTCACGGAACCACATTCATACTGCTGGCCCGACCGACCAAACCTACATGTTTTGTTGGCCGAGTATTGCCTGGTTTTAGTTTTGCCATTATCTACGGTTCGCTGGTCACCAAAACCAACCGCATTGCACGGATACTGGCCGGCAGTAAGAAACGTATTATAACGAAAAAACCGCGTTTCATGTCCGGTACGGCACAGGTAGTCATTGCTTTGTTGCTCATATCGATTGAATCGGGTATTATTGCTACACTGTTGGTCCGCGAACCGGCCGACAAAATGCTCGACTATCCGACTGTATCGCAGGTACAGCTCATATGCAATACAACACCGTTAGGTATGTATAGATACTTTAGATAGTATTATCTTAGAGCTAAATATATGATAAATAATTAAATTATATGAATATTTATTATTTATTTTATTTTTTGTCAAAAAACTTTATATGAATTAAAAGTTTTATAAATATAATTAGTTATATACCGGTTATATATAATAGTAGTATATCTGTATAATATCTTAATTTATATTTTGATTTTGTTTTTTTTATCTTAACTAGATTTTCATGTACTGTATGTTATTTTTGTTGTCGTTGTTGTTATTGTTATAAATATAACAATAATTTTTGTGTGTAATCCATATTACATAAAATGGTTTTAATAGATATATATATATATATATTCTTTAGACTAATAAGGCTTATGTAGAATATTCTGTACAACACATCCGGCAGTACTATCTTTTATACTGAATAATACTCAATACTAATATTGAATTGAAAATCTCAGTGATATCTATATATAGTGTTATATATATATATAGTATATAATTGATACATTGTTTTCAACCGGGGATTAATACAGTACAATAGTATTATATGATTATACAGTGCACAGTATATATATGGACCATCTAATATAGTAGTAATATTATTAGCCATAGTAATAGTAGTTAAGAAAGCACAGTTAGATTATACGATACGGTAGTATAACTCTCTCTCTCTCTCTCTCTCTCTCTCTCTCTCTCTCTCCATGTAGTGAACTGTATGTTTGGATTAATTAATGTAATTACTAAATGTTATGCACAGGAAAGTGACATTAGTTTTTGGCAGTCAAGTCGTTGTCAGAAAATTGCAAATCAAAGAAAATAAAAATAAATGTTATTTTAGTTTACAATTGGGATATAAAACTAAAACTTTTATAATATACATAAGTTTATATAATTTATACCGTATATATATATATATATATATATGTATAGTACTGTATATCTAATGCACTGTATATCGGTATATATGCAAACAACTAATACATTGAAAACTACTACATATAACTAATTTATTTTATTTCTTAATGTTTAATGTATTTAATTATATATATAATTTAGTAGTAATGTTAGTGATAGCATATACTTAACAGCAAATTTGTTTTATTGCAAAAAGGTTTTTACAATTTCAATAATTTATTTTTATTATTTATTTATATAGTCGATGATAAGATTTAAAAAAAAAAATTTATTTTAAAAAATTGCCGAAATATTTTTTTATAAACTTAATTATATGCATAAGCTTTTAAAGTAAATGAGTTTTTTATTTTAGTTTTTTTAATTTTTAAGTTTTCAATAAATTTATTTTTCTTAAATAGACAAGTAAAAATTATGAAAATTAATCGATTAAACTAAATGCATATATATATATATATATATATATATATATAATTTATTTCTCTACTAAAAGTATAAATAAAAAACAAAACAAAAATAGTTTTTATTACTTATAGTGAAAGAGTGATAAAATAAAATGCTATTCATTAGTGATTTAGCTGAGAGAGAGAGAGAGAGAGAGAGAGAGAGAGAGAGAGAGAGAGAGAGAGAGAGAGAGAGATTCATAATAAGAAAAAACGAGAAAATAAGTGACTATAGATTGAATGATAGAGAGCATAGTTAATGTCTATGTGTGTGTGTATGTGTGCTATCTATTGAACTTTAAGGGTATCTAATTAGGTCTGTACTTGTAGTACAGTCTTTAATCAGTCCATTGATATGGAGAAGCGCACAGCCATTCAATAATCAGTCATCTCCTGCTCAGTCAATATATACTGTATATATATATTTCTCTATTCACCAAACAATAGGCTATAGTATTTAATACTATGGATACTATGTATTACTGCTGTTCATATCACTAGTCTGTTAGTGTGTGTATGTGTGTGTGTGTGTGTCTATGACAAGGAATCGGATGACAAACCCGTAATAGTTAGGGGAAAGGGATGTAGCGAAAGGAAAGTGAGAGATCACTGACACGACGATAATATCAGCGATGATAGCAATAAAATAATGATAATAAAGACAAGACATGTCTTCCTTAAAAATTTTTTTTGCTGTTATCAGACATATACTCACTTCTATCTCTCTCTCATATATTGATATATAAGTATTAGTTGGCTATCAGCTAATAATCATTAAATGGATGACTGTCTAGCATACCGTTCCCTATCTTTTCATTTATGTCTACTACTATTACTACTACTACTACTTCTACTATTATTACTGTAGTAATGTATGTCAAGCGTTAACAATAAGCTGCCAAACATCAAATTTGTTGCCAAATAACCAAATAAAATGCATTTACTATTATTATTATTATTAGTACTATTGCTTTTATTTTTATGCTTTCTGTATGTTAGTTACCAGAATATTCTGTTAGTAATGAAATTAATTATTTGATTGACACAGCATATACTGGTTGTTGCATAACATTAATGTTAATAATATTATATTCACAACTCATATATCCCTGACCACCTTTCCCTCCCTTCCCCATCCATACCATTTATACATTGCACCCATCATTTGATTTTGACCATCGATTAAAAATACATTGATTTTATTGTTCAAAATATCCATTTAATTGCAGTAGAATTAGTATAGTCTTTATATAATAAATATAGTATAAACTATAGATTATATTGTTATTTATAAATATATAATGTATATTCAATATATATTTTATATAATATAAAGTTATATAAAATATTTTATACTATATATATTTAATGTCAAATATATTTATATACAGTTTATTGTATCTATAAATGATATTGTTATATATATATATATATATATATATATATATATATATATATATATATAATACATATGTCTTTATCATTTAAAAAACATTACTCAATGAATGGGTCAATGAATTAAATTTCACGTATGAATGATTGACTTATTTTTTTCTCTCTCTCTCTCTCTCTCTTTCATTATAACAACAACAAAAAATTATCATTAAATAAGATTTTTTGTAACAATTTTATTTGTATGTCAACGTTACTGCACCACATGTCAAACATAGATTACATTTATTTCTAATGTTTATATATTGACTTATTATGAATTATATATATATATATATATATGCGGTTCTATAATAAATGTATAGAAATTTAAATATTTATTATAATATATAATATAACAGTATATATAGTACATACCGGTGAAAATGCACAATGAAAATGATTTTTGTTTTATTTATATTTTTTTTGTTAAAAATATAATCTCAAAAATTTAACCAACTTTTTTTCTAATAATAATTAAATAAATACAATATAATTAAATTTACTAAAAACTTAATATAGACTACTATTAAAAAAAATATTTTAATTAATTATTAATTAATTATACCCACATTATTTAAAAAAAAATTATATAAACAAAAATAACATTAAATATTAAACTAGTGTACCAAATTAAAAAATCAATAAATTACTAAACTATTATTTTTTATTTTTCACACCTACACCCACTAATCAACCACCCCACCCCACACACCCACATACATAGGTATCGTAGCACCGTTGGGTTTTGATTTTTTCCTAATCGCCATGTGCACTGTCTATGCCATCAAAACGCGTAACGTACCCGAAAACTTTAACGAAGCCAAATTCATCGGTTTCACCATGTATACAACCTTGGTCATTTGGATAGCATTTGTGCCCATCTATTTCAATAGTAATATCAACCAATTCAAAGTGATAACACTGTGTATGTGTATATCGTTCAGTGCTATTGTTGCACTGTTACTACTATTTGTACCCAAAATCTATATAATGTTAGTCAAACCTGAGAAAAACAATCGCAGCTATTTTACTACAGCCAAAAACGTCCGGTGCCATATCGGCTATGTGCCCACTATGGGTGTGTCCCGGCACTCGTCCCATTCGACCAGCGAGTTTAGTATGGAATCGCCCAGGTATGTCCAAAAAAAAAAATTTTGTTTTTGTTATAATAAACTAATATAAATATTTTTTATTTGTGGTTTTTATGAGCGCGTATTTTATTTCAACATAAATAAATATATATATATTTACAACTTGTTGATTATTATAAAAAATTTAATTAAATATATAAAATTAATTATTAATAAATATGTATATCAAGTTAGCCAATGTGTGGTCAATATTATTATTAGATTTATTGATAATTAAAAATTACTATCAAAAAATATTATGTATATATACAATATATATACAGTATATACAGTATATACAGTATATAGAAATTTAAAATATATAAAAATTAAATTAACAATAAAATATTAATCTGAAAAGTAAATACTAAATTCAAAATATATAATTTATTTGTTATTTTCTTATTAATACATCTTTTATTTTATCAAAAAATAAAACAATATTATATCATTTAACAACATTAATATTGATTAATGTCATATTTACTATTACTTATCTTTTATTTTTACAAATTAATCAGAAAAACATTTACTTAATATATCTAAATAAATACAATCGACTTAATTAATTTGTTTTTTTGGTAATGCTATTTACATTATGATAATAAATTTGTTTGTTTATTATCTATATCAATGTTATATGTATGCATATATATACAGTATATATATATATATTTACTATCGTTAAAATTTAGTGCATTTTAATTTTTTATTTTATGAATAAAAAAAATATTTTATTATTCGACTTGTGTGTATAGCTTATGGTGTACTACTGTAAAACATATTTTACGTAATGTATAAAATTTTAAAATTTAAATCAATAAACCGGGATATTTTTGGTTATTTTTGTGTGTGTATGTATGTATGTGTTGGTTATTTAATATTAAAACAAAAATGCTGATTTTGTGTATTATATAATATTGCATGCTATTATATTATAATATATATATATATATTACAAAAGCACTGTCAGTTAAATAAATTTTTATAACACATACAGTATACTTGTATTGTATTTACATATTATAAGTTATAACCAGCACCGGTAGTCATATGTCCCATATAAATAACATAAAACAAAACAAAAACAATATATATAGTTTACTGTAAATATATTCACATTAATATCACAAAAAAAATATATAAAAATTTATTTATATAAATTCAAATTAAATGCAAATTATTTTATGTGTGTTTTTTTTTGTTTTCTATATAACTCTTTTTGTTTGCTTTTTGTTTGTTTAGTTGTGACAAAAATTTTGAAAAGTTATGTTACAAAAATGTTTTTGTTATTTAATAAAAAAAATAAAAATAGTTTATATTTTTAAATTATCGACAAAATACTTATATATTTTGTTTTGTTTTTTGTTTGTTTCATAAGTCTTACAATAATAATATTTTTAATAAAAAAAATACAAAATTAAATTTAAATAATTTATGTATATTTTTCTAGAATAATAATAACTATAATTCTAATAATAATAATAATAATAGAAATATTAAAAATAGAAAAATTCATGCAAAATAAAGATAAATATTTATTATTATTATTATTAATGTTAGAAAATAAAAATAATAATAATAATAATTGCCATTAAACTAAAGGCAATATTTCACTAAAAAACAATGGCTTATATTATATATATATGTATTGTTTTGTGATGTGGTTTAGAGTTATATAAGTATATATAATATAAGTTAAAGACATCTTATTTATCAAATCTCTTACTTTCTCTCTCTCTCTCTCTCTCTCTCTCTCTCTCTCATTGTTACTAAAGATAAACGGATTAATATATTAAAGTTGTTTATATGTTTTAAGTAGAAAATTGTATTTAATTTTTTTTAGTTCAACATTTCTCAGAATTATTATTATTATTGTTATTTATTTTAGATATTGTTTTTTTTGGTTAAGTAATATAAACTAGTGTGCTGTATATATATATATTTAGTGTATTATAAGATTTTATTTTATATAAAATATAATCATATAAATAGTTGAGCAAAAAAAATTGGATAAAAATACATTTAAAACAATAATAGTCGTAATAATAATAATAATAAATGTTAACTATGACTGTAAATATAACTCTTAATGTTATTTTATATTTTTTATATATTTTTCAGTAAAAATTTATTTAGCAAAAAATATAATTATAACAGAAAAAATTTAAGAAAACTTAAATTACTTTCATTAATGACTAAAAAATAATAATTAATACTTTAAAATATTAATTATTACTATAATAGTATTATTACTACTGTATTATTATTGTATGAGTTTTTATTTCAAATAAAAATTTAGCAAATAATTTTTTTTTAAACAAAAGTAATATTAATTACTATGGATTTTTTTTTTAAAAAACAATTTTTGAAATTAAGATTTACTAATTAGTAGTTTTTGTTGAAATATTTAATTATTAACTCAAAACATATTTTATAATTTTTAATACTTATATAAATTTAACTAATTTCTAGATAATCAACTTTAAATGTTTATAAAAACTATATCTTTAATTTAAATTTATTACTATCAATTTGTTATGCTAGAAATTATATATATATATATTTATATCTTATTTAAAATGTTATATTTTTAATATATGAATTATTTAATTTACTGTACATTACTTCAATATTTGTTTAAGAAAATTAATATATCTTATATATATATATAAGTATTATATATACAGTATGTAAATAATATTGTATGATACATTTTATTTGCCTATTCACCCACTCACCCACTTATATATATATATATTCAATTACTTCCAGCAAACACTTGAATATATAATATAACTTAATAATAAACGTGATGTTTATCCCATTTTACTTAAATTTTTATTGATTAATATTTAGTTTTTATATGAATTTTTATATATATATATATATATAGATAAATTTACTTATAACTTTATGCTATATTATTAATTAATTAGTTAAAAGTTATCATAGTTATATTTCACAATTATTTAACTCAAAATAAAAATATTTAAATATCATTCATATAAATAATAATAATAAAAAAATAAATAAATTTATTTATGTGTCTATTATATAATATTTGAATAAATTGTTCGTAAATTTTAGCGATTAAATGCTTTTTTCCAACTAATATAATATTATATCAAATAAGACAATACTCTTGTGTATAACAATAATATATATTTCAAATGAATAATATTCATTGTTTTTGTAATGGGAATAGAGATTACATTAAATATATATGAATTTAAAATAAAATAATCACAGAAAATGCTTTAATTAATAGTAGATATATATATATATATAGTATAATATTTAAAATATTTTGTGAAATATTTTATTTTAAATAGTGATTTAATAAGTTTTTTTCTAATGAAAACTTCTAATAAACCGTATAATACCATACAATCACACACACACACACACACATATATATATATATATATATATATATATTAAATATATAAATTATATGTATATATAAACATATAATAAATATAGTTTATGAAATTTTTATTAAAAATATAAGTTTTCAAAATCACATTTTTGGATATTAAATGTGATTTTTAATATGTGAAATATGTCCAAAAATTTTAATTTAAGTGTCACTTAAAATAGTTTTATTATTAGTTTTAAAAATTTATTTTATTTATTTTATTAGAGTTTATTTTTGAAATTAAATTTTCTCTTAAATTAGATATCATATCATAAATATAATAATATGTTTGAGTCAACAATTTGTTTGTTTTTTGACAGTAAATAACAGAAAATCTATTTTATTTATACAATATATTTATAAATACAGTTTATTTATATAAATATAAAAAAAATTTTCAATATTTTTTTGTTGATAAACTTAAAGCTCTAGTGTGTTATGCTTTACAAAAAAATATATATAAAAAAAATTTGAGTAAACTATAAAAAATGATATAAAAATCTTTTTTCACAGTAGTCTCTAAAATATGATTTCTTACATAATATATATTTAAGCAAAAATATATGTACTATAAAAATATATATACAGTATATTTTTATTACATACAATATAATACTTTATATACATAGTAATAGTTTATATATACAAAATAATAATAAAAAAATATATTTTATAACTCTAAAATATTGACTATGTTTTAAATGATAGTATACTACTATTTATATTTATTTATTTATTTTTTTGTCAAAATTTTATGATACCATAAAATATTATATACTGTATATATATATATATATATATATATCATTTATTAGTGTTACTGCAAATACAGTATAAGATTTGCTTGTTTTTAAATATATAGGTTGAGAGAGAGAGAGAGAGAGAGAGTTATGGTATAGTATTTTTCATCCAATATATATATATATATTATAGCCAGTGATAGATAAGACATTTGGGAAATGAGTTTCCGATTTTTATTTGACACAAAGGACAGGACAAACATTATATATATATATAAACACAATATATTCAGTAATTGACTAATCAATGACAGTGTGCCCTAATAACCAAATACCTATAGACTACTACTGGTTCCCAGTTGTGTAATGACAACAATAATTGTGAAAAAAATGCATATTATTTGGATATTTTTATATATTTATAGATATAATTTATTGTCTAAAAAATTTTATAAGCAATAAATTTTTTAAAATACAATTTTTTGTACAATCTATACTTATTATTATATAATTATGATATTGTTTAATGTTTTTATTTTGAAATAAAATTTAATTATTTGTATTTATTTATTATTAATGTTAAATTAAAATAGTTATTTACAGGTATAAAATCACTTAAAACTTAAAGAAAATTAAAATTTTTATTAATTAACTAACTCTATTACTATTTATATTATAAAAATAATAATGTAATATACAAAAAAAAATTATTTATAGTTAATATAATTTATATAAATAGTTTGTTATAATAATTTTTTATTTCTCAATAATAATATTTAGTGAGTATTTTATTAGATATAGTTTTTTTTAACAGCTAGTTAATTTTTTTTTAAAACTGTAAA